AGTTCTTAATCTCAGGTTTGTCTCTTTCCCAATGCGGGATACAATGTGTCTTGCATGCCAATGCAGTCGTGACCACTGCTGTGGAGGCGATGATGGCATGTGGCAGAGAAGTAACTGTTTCTCACCTCCTAATAAAAGAGACTCCTTTTTAATCTTTTCAATTTGATTGCGTTCCAAAACAGGCCTGTCTACCCATCTGTCTCTCTTAAAGAAGCCTCCTAAAGGGATTTTAATCATCTGGCTCTGGGCTTCTCAGGCAAATAACTACATCTCTCTCTTTTCCTCTTTCACACACTCACTCGCATGTACATACACACAGTCATTTGCCAATTTTATTTTCTGTACTCTCTGTCAAAGTTTTACTTGTCTTTCCTCTTTGATACATTGTGTCGTTGTACCACTTCTATGTCGCCATTGAGGCCCTACAGTCAATTTTTAAGTCCCTCCTCAGACATATAGAAGTCCCTAACTCTGTCCCTCTTAACTCACATGGCTCCAAATTCTTTATTTTCCTTCAAAGGGACAACTGAAGCCGTAACATCAATCACGGAAAGCGAATATTTAGCTGGCGCTAATTTCCACCAATAGCCTGGAGACAGGCTTAGCTGACAAAACTCATTCCTGTGCTGAACAAAACTGCTTGTGTTGAAATCTCCCCTCCCCCTGATCCCTTCTGCCTTCTGCACGGGCAAAAACAGCATCACAATAAACACAGTTAGTGCTTCTGTTACTCCCCGTTGAATTAGGCTTATCAAATGAATGTGCACCATGGAGGGATACCCTTTGACAATACATAATGGACCCATTCTGCATGAAATGGTTTGGTAATACCAGTCGAGTGTGGCAAACGGCTTTACCCGGTGCCACTACAAGAACAGCTGCTGTGTTCTTAGCTGGGCAAGCGCACCACACTGCTTCACCCTTGAGGTTGTTTGAATCGGGTGAGTGGTTTCTTTTTGCCCGTTCCCAGACTCCATTCACACTTCTTGGTTTCTCACTAGGTTCTTTTTGAATGAATGCACATTTGCCACAAGTTGAATCTTCTAAACCATTTGACCCGTTTCTATGCCCTGCTGTGTGTGAGCGGGAAAGCCCAGAGTGGATAGTGATGGAGGCCTAATGAAGGTGGATGGGCATTTTTTAGGGCACTCTTTTGTGTAGTTTGGAGGAGGCCCCTTGTGCTACCGCTTATTCCCACCCCTTTATGCACAGCGACCTTGACCATAGCTGAACCTATGCCAGTCAATCAAACTGCTTTGTGCAAATTAATGGGCACTATAACAAACCCTGGCCCAACTCCCCATCCTCGCCCTGTCTACTCACATCTTCTCCAAACTCACACTTGGAATAGCAAAAGAGGGGTGTTCGTGTTGGGCAATATGCCAAAGTGGCCAAGTGGGCACAGTCAGTTAACAGACAAGATGTTGACGGGTAAGAATTCATTCAGTAAGGTTTATTGAGGAACCCCACTGCCTTCATAATGCCAGTGGATTGTGTTGTCTTTGATGTTTGCTAAGCTTCAGCACTGTTAGCAGTTAAACTTCATTGATTCTCATTGCTAAACTCCTGTGCCTGAATTGAACTGACTACATGTTTAAGAAGAGAAGGATAATTCAGGAGCAGTTGATTGATGCTGCATGATTTTAAAGGGCCAGAGGAAGACATCTTAAAGAAGTTGCCAAAGATAAATATTCTGAGTTTATATACAATTTTCAGAAGCTGTAATAAATATGTAGTCTGATCATACTACTTTAAAGCCTAGGTAGGAAAATTTACAGACTTATTTCCCCAAATACACAGATGTAGATTAAAGTTTTGCATCTCTCCATACATTGTGGTGAACTTTTCCATAGACACATTAACTAGTGAAACTATTGACATAAGACTGAAAATATGACTCTGGAAAATTAGGGCAAGACTTAACATATCTGAAGCCTTTAAATATCTGAACCTGATTTATAAGCAATGAGCTGTAGAATAAATTGTAATCTTACATATCTAATATATTTTATGTATGTATTTACCCTTGGCTTCTCTTTTTCCAAGACTGTTTCTTTATCACAAGTGACAACAGCCCTTCTACCATCTCTTGGTACCTGCCGTTGTGGATAAGTGTTGCCAGATTTGTTTATAAAGAGCCTAAGCTTTTAATCTGAAGACAACGAATCCTATCTCCTTATTTGGTATCTATAATCTAAATATCTAAATCAGCTATCTGGGTTTTAAAACCTTAATGAGAGTTGGACCCAATTCGACTCTGCTTCATCCTTGAAACCCTTGTTTACCTTAATTGGCTTTGATTGGCCTGTAAACCATTACCCTTTACCTCTTTTGCTTTATTACGTTAGTTGTGATTGAGCTCTGATGAGGATGGATGATTGAAGGGAAACAAAAAAAAAAAAACAGAAAAGTATCAGAACAACTTATGACTCCATCTGTTCTCTCCAGTATTAGGGGACCAAGCAGTGCATCTTTCTGCCTAAGCTTTGCCACTGGTTCATTCATTATTTAGAGCTCTCTCCAACAGGCCCATTGTATTAAAGGGGTATGATTTGAATAGGAAGTAGCTTCCTGGGCCCAGGCGTGTGATGTGTGTGTTCTTCTGTCATTGTATGTTTCTCTGGGCTTCATTCGTCTGCCTCAGCAAGCCAGGGGGCTGAAAAAGAATTTCCATTTTATGAATATTTAATACATAATAAAGTTTTCAATTTTATTCTGTTCAAGCTTTAGGGGTATAAAAAAAAATACTTGACAAAGCCAACCCTCAAGGACAGAGCACAGAATAAAGGTGGTTGATTTGATGGAAGCATCAAAAAAATGGTTAACACCGTCTCACAGTTTTGTCATCTACTATAATACACACTAACATTAGTACCACCTTAGTTTTACATCCTATAGGGGTTTTATATCATAATTTCTCTACACTTTATGCACTCTTTCTATGCTGCATTACTATAGGATCATAGTACACCAAGCCTGTCTGTTGCCTCTGAGTTGACCTGGCATAGCTGTGTGAGACACCCAGCTGGGAGTGCCTCTGAATCAACTTGGGATTAGCCCAGGATTGTCTGGGATTACTCAGAGATGGAGGGGGATTAGCAGTGACTGCCTGTTTCGGGGGCGTGAGGGCTGCAGGCTGGCCAAATTGCCTCTGACTCAGAGAGCAGGAGGTGAATGAAAACACACCCAGTGTAGAACCACTGTCAACCTGAGATGTTTTTAGATTTCTGAACATTAGCACACACAAAACGGGGTTGGTGGGTAAAGAAATGTGTCAGACTTTTTATAACAGAAGCCTGGCGGCGAGTTATGATCATGGTGTTGATGCCATGGCTGGCCACCATCCGACATCTCTCAAATCTCTCTAGCAGGTGGATTCATCAGATAAAGAGGGTTTGGAATGACAAATCCCTTCAAGTTCAGTGGGGCTGCTCTTCTTTTACAGGGGGGATAAATCGAGATTTGAATCGGACAGGTCACACAGAGTGTCAATGTGAAGTGGTTCAGTTATCTGAAAGATGTCCCATTTACAATCAGCTTACATATGTTTTAATTTAGGCATGCATGGGGCTTGGTGGGGGGATGATTTGGAGTGGTATGATAGGTGCATGATCCAGAGATTGAGACAGGGAGCTGGCGAGGCACGTAGAGGAGCCGTCAGATGCAGGGAGCGGGCATCCCCTGCGGACCTGCACTGCCAAGATGAAAGGCTGCTTAGTGTTGGAGCAGCATCATCAAACAGCCGCCTCCTCTTGCATCCTTTCCCCATCCCCCCTGGTTTCCCTCCATTTCTCTCTCTCTTGACTCTCAACACAATATGATATAGTTACGCCACTTCACGTGTATCAGGTTGCCATGGTTACCCAATGCCGGAGGTGTCAAAGCAAGATAACCCAAGGAGGCATTCACAGATCACCTGAATTCAGCTTGCCTCCTGTTTATGTGTTTTTCCTCACAGCAATTTGATTTATTTGTTTCCCTGACGAGCAGTACCATTTGAATACAAATAATCTTCAACGTAATAGAGATAGCAAAGAGCTAGAACCTCTCAATTGGAAATAATCCATTCCACAAGTATATTCTCAAACAAAAGATGCTTATGGTTTGATAGTCTAAATGACCCATACCAAACAAGGAGCAGAACTGTAAGAAAAACAGTAGTCTTTAAGATGTAAATGATAATTAAAAAAAATACACTTGATTTTATGAATTACTGAACCATTGACTGTACTTGCAGGCGTAAAGGATAATGGGAAAGTAATTGGTGGCACACTGTCTAATTGAAAGGATGGAGATTGAACGCAGAGGTGGAAAATGACTTATGTTCAAAGAAGTGTGTAAAATAAGAAAAAGGAAAATCTAGACAAGCTGAAATATGTAGCACTCAGTAACAAAAGAGAAAGCAAGCCTCTGAAAGGTTGCGATAAAGACAGAACAAGGGAGGGGTAGAGAGATAGGCATTGAAGGTTGATGTCAGAGGGTTGGATACATCCATTAGCCTTCCTTGCTCCTGGCTCAGTCTTGCAATTCACCCTCTCTCTCTTCCCAATTCAAGCTAGGAGAGCAAAAGAGACAGCTGGCACAAAGCCAGACTGGCACCAACTTCAAACATAGAGTATGCTCAACCTCAGTGGCTTACATCAGCCCAGCCTAGGGAAGAAATAGAAAAAGACAGACAGATTGATGGGAATGAATGTGGGGATTGATGTGCAGATAGGGATTCTCTCAAGACGGATTCTAAGGTCACCATAGATTGGATAAGCCTGACATGAGTCTTACCCCATGCTGTAGTTTCTGACCCCTGAACCTAGCACTTTTCAAATGGCTCTTATGAATTAGCATGTTTATTACAACAGTTCATTATAAAATATGACTTCTACACATATTTTAAACGTTTGTGTTGATTTAAGAACAATTTGAGCTACATTGGACAATTAGATTTAAATATTTAACTATTTATTTGGTGATTTTAGTAACCGCTTGTTTTTATGTCTTTGCAGAACTCCATTCGACACAACCTTTCTCTCCACACTCGATTTATCCGGGTCCAAAATGAAGGGACAGGGAAGAGTTCCTGGTGGATGCTAAACCCAGATGGGGGAAAGATGGGCAAAGCCCCAAGAAGACGAGCAGTTTCCATGGACAATAGCACTAAATACCTTAAAAGTAAAGGCAGGATCAGGGGCAAGAGGGTAGGTCGTCCTGGAATTGGAGGAGGATCTGCTGTAAGGGGGCTTCAAAGCTCCCCTGACCATGGCAGTCCCTCACGTAAAACCCTACCAGGACCCGGCAATGCATCTGGAACAGATGGAGAGTTTGACGCTTGGACTGATCTTCATTCTAGGGCTAGTTCATCAGCTTCCACCTTAAGTGGGCGTCTCTCACCTATCCTTGCAGAGGGAGAACCAGAGGAACCAGAGGAAGGTGGCCTCTCTTGTTCTGCCTCCCCTCACCTTTATCCGTCCCCGACCAGTGCTCGCTCCCCATCTATGGGAGCGGGAAATCATTGTCCTCCACTTGAGCAGCTGCCTCAACTGGCTAACTTAGCCGGTGCCATAAGTTTGGATGAGCAGATGATGGAGGATGGCTATCAACATCATTGTCCACAGCAACATCAACAACATCCTCCTGTTGGAAGGAATAAGCACCAGACTCCTGTGTATCACTACAACTCTGGAATGAAGGGACAGGTCTCCTATGGAGGAGGAGTTTACAATACATCAGGGATGGGTATACTCCGTCATCACTCACCATTGCAGACCATTCAGGAAAACAAGGCTACCACTTTTTCTGGAACCATGCGGGCATACTCAAGTACAAACGCACTGCAAAGTCTACTGACAGGAGGTTCTGCTGTGCAGCAGTACTTTTCTAAAGACCTTATGTTGGGGCAGGAGAGGGAAGGCCATCCTATGATGGGTCAGACGAGTAATGGAGTAGGATCCAACCACCACAGCCACCATCCTGTGCACAATAGTGGAATTCATAACCATAACAGAACTCACAATCACACTCCTGGTCACAATCACAATAGTGTAAGCAACCACAATCAACCTCACAGCCTTGCTCACAATGGTCACAGTCTCAGCCGGAGCCATACCAACACACCACCCCGAGCAGCAGCCCTGACCACATGTGGAAACAGTAACCAGTTACAGACTTACAATCACAAAGCTCCCTACCTGTACAGCCCACCATCCCATGCTCATCTTCCTGCTTCTACAACCCTCCCCCCAAACCCAGCAGGTATGCTTGGCATGCCTCAAGACTCCTGTCATGTGGCTTCCACCCCACACCCCCGTCATAATCATTACCCAGACTCACAACACCAAGGCTTGAACAATGGACCCTACCACCATGGCCAGGGGATGGGTAATGGCAGTGTTGGTAGTACCTACCATAGCTATCACCAACCCTATCCCCATGATAGATTACCAGCTGATTTAGACATTGATATGTTCCATGGTAGCTTGGACTGTGATGTGGAGTCCATCCTTCTACATGACATTATGGACTCAGGGGAGGAAATGGATTTTAACTTTGACTGCTCCCTCGCCCAGGGGGTTGGAATTGGCATGGGAATGGGAATGGGTGTGACTATGGGCATGGGAATGAGTGGTCTGGCTGGTCCACAGCAGGCCCACAGCAACCAGAGCTGGGTCCCTGGCTGAATTCCAGAACAACATCTCCAGGACTGCAACCCAACTTATGAAGCACTGTGCTCAATTATGACATTCCTGACTCTGAACAAAGCCTACAGGACCAAGCCCCCCCATGTCTTATTTGTTGTCTTGACAATTGCTCTATCACCCCTGCTCTTTTTATCCCCTTCTTACTGAGAGATCTAGTTCATGTCAGATTAATTTTTTTCTTGAATCAGTTGTACTGTGATGACAATCTCTCAGCTGTGCTTGGCCGGCATCGCTTCTCATTTACCATGAGAACTGAACTCTGAATGCACTTTATCGCAAGTGGGTCACATCTCACGGTGCAGTGCCTTCACAGAGCAGCTCAGGCAGAGCTTGACTTGTTTTCTGAGGTGGTTGCAGCATTTGACAGGAACAAACAAGAAACACAACTAATAAAAGCGTCAGAGGTAGGAACCAATAACTAAATTTTTTCAGTTGTGGCAGAGACCAATCGAAAACACCTTTAGGCATGTTGATTTGACGTTGGTTGCCCTGATTCTGTTTTAGGTTTGAACATGCTCACCCCTAAAATATTGTTTTTCTTTTACTAAATTTAAATGATTATTTCAACCAAAAATACTTTTTTGGAATATTTGTAATATAGTTAGGCTATATTTTGAATTAGTTTTCAGTTAAATCATTCAAAATAAATGTGTAATACATTTGCATATTCTTAGCTTCCATCTGACTATTTTGCTGCAGCCATATTATTTTAACTTCCCACAGATTCTTGGGGGTTACATTTTCTCAAATGTAACATGTAAAGACCTCATTATCATCTGTTACAAAAGACCGTCCTAATGTCATTACATGCATGCCATCGTTAGTGGCAAGCATGCAATTTGGCAAATTAAAAATCTCATATCACCTTGCTTCACCTGGGTTTTTTGCTCCAGCATGCCCCCGCCCCTGTCTGGTGGTGCAGACTAAGTGACCATTTCTCACATCAAGCCATTAATGTGGCTTGATTGAAACTCAGCATCTTGCTTTTAATCTCCAAAGTGATGCAGAGGCAATGTGTCATTATTGAGAATTTAACATGTTGTCCTTCCTTGCTAACCCCTGGCTGTCTTTTAGCATAATGCACCAGGAGCTTTGAGACAAAACAGTGATTAACTTTATGTCACTCTGCCTGCTGTCCTGCTCTGAGAAGAGCCAATGTCACTGTCCGCTTTCCCACTCAAAGAGGGTACATAATAGAGAGGAAAAAGCCTCTTGTTGCAGTGGGATCAGTCAGTCTCAGATTTTATGCTCTTTAGATCAATGTGTGTGCTAAAGAGTAGTGTACTCACGTCATAAATCATCCCCATAATTTGTGCTTTGCTCCTATGTTTACAAATCTAATAACCTGATATTCAAGTTCAGGTGCAAAGGGATTTTTTTAACGGGATAGGTGAGAATTTTTTTAAGTGAGGTTCTGTTAAAATGGTGAATTACTATTATACATTCAGAATGTTGCTTTGTTTGCATTTTAATTTTGAATAAATCAAGTTTTGATTCCAAAGGCTAAATTTTAAGCCCAAAGGGGACTTTTGATTTAAAAAGCACTTCTTTCTCAAAAATGCCATACTGGTTTATGCACAAGCTGTTTTATGAGCCTTTAAACAGTCGTCAAATTGGGATAGGTCAATTATTTATACAATTGCTGATGGTGTTTTTAAGGTAAATGATAGTGGGAAGCAGTATGCCATCAATGATCTTCTGTGTAAAACAAAAGGAATGGAATTGTGAAATTTTTGTTTTTGTCATATTAGCTAATCTAATAGGCTTGGTAAAAAAAAAAAAAATTATTTTTGCTTTTTACACCTTTCTTAATTTTAATATATTATTGATATCAGATCTTTCTGAATAGGTTACACTGGATAAGGGTCCAGCTGATGGCCCAAAGGTCGATAAAAGTAGACGATAGTGTCACCTTCCCAGATCAGTTAATCAGAATTATTACTAATCAAAGACCCAGTAAATGTTGTGCTGGCAAGACAGGAACTGAATACAGAAGTATAACAGAACCACACTTCTAAAATCTTGAACCACCTTAAAAAAAAAAGCAGGTAATCGGAATACTTAAACCATAAAATGAGGTTGAAATCCCAAACATTTATCCATGTCTAATTTTTGAGTGTTTATTCTGCTGTCTTGTAGTTGTTGTATTCTTTGAAACCTAAGGGGGAGAAAATAACAGGACTTGAACTATCATACTATAAGAATTGAATCCATTGGTGAAAGAATGATGGTGTAGTATGATCTTCATGAGATTCAATGCCATGCACCCCTCTCATGTCCTCTGCTCAGTCATTTTGTTGGTGAGGAGGTGTTTCTGCAGCTTATTTGCCTTCGGCCTTGGGAGAGCATAAGAGGAAACTCTTATTCTCTACATCCCTCAAGAAGATTCCCCACTCTTTGCTCCATACAGTCATAAAAAAGAAATAAACTAAACAAAAGATTGTAGGAGATTGGAGGGAGTAGGGGTTATTTTTACAGCCAAAGGTCAAGCATGGCACAGACTATCAGACCCATTATTGAGGTAAATTACATTTATTTCAGGCTTTTTAGTTGCCCTGGTTCCAGTTAATCTCTGTGGATAATGCGTGGAATTTTATAAGTTCTGTGACCTCAAGAAGCAGTTCTTTTCTATCCTATGCTACAGATGGTTAGCAATTCCCTGCTATTGGAAAGAAAGCTATATATGATGTCTAATTTTCTGATATTTATTTATGAAACAGATCTGTCTTTGTCATTCCTAACTGTGATAGTTGTACAAGTCCCATGTCGTCTTTTTTATTTTCTTTTTTTTTAATGACCCTGTCCTTTTGCCAGTTTGACTGATTTTTATTTTGTAAAATCTCTCTCTGTCTATATATATATACATATATATATATATATAAAAAATGTACATTAGTTTTTAAAAATCTCAAAAGAATTATCAGTTTGCTGTCTATTTCTTTTTTAAAAGAATGTATCTCATCATTTGGTGACTGTTAAATAAATGAAATTTAAAGAAAAGTTTTGCCATTTTCTTATCTCTTATTTGATGTCTTATTTGCGCTAGTTATTTTGTCCTTGTATTATTTCAGCCACATGTTTTTTAATTTAAAATATACCATAAAAGTTAATTTATATCAGATATTGAATTTCGAAAATAAGCAAGTAATCTGAAATGGGACTTGGGAGGCCTACGTAATAGTTGTTTTCTTCTCCTTTGAAAAAAGGAAGATGCTTCTGATGTGGTTTCTTGTTCAGTTTTTGAATGGAATTGGCATCATAATCGTCTCAAGCCTGCAATAGTTCCTGCTTCATTTGCACATTTTCTACCACACTTCTACCTTCCACACAACTTTAAATTGGATACATCACTGTGTAATCATATTTATTTTCAATAACTATTACAAGGCTTACTCTCATTCTGCAGTTTGTCAGTAACTCTCAGCCAGATAACAAGTCAGCACTTCTCTCCCATGATTGTATAAGCCATATCATACGCAAAAAAACAAAAACAAAATGGGTATTATAAATTCAGTCAACCTATTTTACTCTAAATAGAGTATTTACAACTATACTGAGTGTAAATCTGTTCCAGTGTTTGAGTCAATAGTGAAAAAATTGACAGCCATGTAGTGTAAGTTTTACTCTTTATGGTGTAAATTGCCAGCTAGTCTCTAGAGGTCTTCCTGATTTTGACACTGAAATTAGTAAAATTAACTTAGAAAAACTGACTCTAGCTATAGAGTAAATTGTACACTAATTTGGAGTGGGATCAAATGTTATCTTAAACAGTGTTATATTCAACTCCGCTAAAGGCGTTAAAATAACACTTGTTTTTTTTTTACTTTCTACAACTTGTATTTTTAATATTTTTTGTATGGTTGTATGTAATTTTCAAATCCCCACCCCCAAAAAAGTATAAAATCATACTCATCAGGGGTATGAATCATTGTTTTTATAGACTTATTCTATATAAGCTTATTTACTGGAATTAACATTTTAAGGATATTCTAATTTCTGAATTAATGATGTGAGATAATGTAAAATATATTCGTTTTTTTTGTTCTTCATTTTTGACACATTAAGCATCTCACAGATATAACGACCCTTATTTAAAGTTGTACTTAAAGCATAATGTTTAATTATGAAGGTAGCTGTTAGAAAAATAATAATAATGACAAAACAGAAGGGATGAAAGTTCTGTTGCATGAATTGTGGGAAGCATCTCTTAATTGAAAAATAACTGGAAATTGCGCATGATTAGGATAGACATACGGACATAGAAACAAAAAGCAGAACCAGATTTGGCTGGATTAGAGGGGTGTAAGTATCATAAGGCTTGTTATTTCCAACAAATCAGTATAGGTTGGCCACAGCTGTCCGGGTCCCATTGGAGGTGTTTTCACAGGAGGAGTCTGGAGCGCAACAGCGCCATACTGCCAGGCCCCAGGGGAGTCTTCGCCTCCATGCACACACATGAACACGCAGAGATGCAGACGCCACACCAAATGTTTGCGCACATGCATTTGAAAATATCACAAATTCACACATTTGCACAAAGAAGTGCACAGCTCCGTTATAAGACCCAACACACTCACTCAAACAGATATTTCTCACTTATATGTACACTTTTAATTGACTCCACTTGGCAAATCTTCTCTGTAGGGAAAAACAAGTGAGAAATAGAGAGAAAGAGAACAACAAAGGTGCCAGGAAAAGGCACCAGGCAGCGTTTATTTAAAGCTAAAGATGCCTGACAAAAAAACAATTAAACCGTTTTGCGTGGTTCTAGGAGGTGTGATGTCTTCAGACATGGTTCAGAGACTTTATGAGATGTTGTGTGATTTCATGATTAGACCAGACTTTGTGTGGCTGAGTGGAACCCAAGACTCAGAGCCTGGCAGGAGGCCAGGGTCTTGCTTCTCTCTGTCTGTCTCCTGAGAGCCAGAGTTTGGGGCAGACAGTAAGGCACTTCAGTCCAGGTGCGGTGCCTCAGGGACGTTCTGCTCCTCTTTTCCTCATTATGAGAGCCAGAGAGAAACTGCATTACTGTGTCATTATTCATCCACTCAAGCATCTGGAAACAGGTACTTCCTCAGTTGGTGTAGTCCTGCTGTTGCAGAGACCGCCCTTGGAGCTAAGGGCTGGCAGGGGACATTGCTAACTGCAAACAGACAGAGCCACCCAGGCAAGACTCTGGGGTACACATGTCCTTGAGTACTTATGAGGAATCATCTCTTCTTACTTTCCAGGTGAGCTCTTATGTCAAGAACTTATTTTTTTCTTTCATATGACAAGTATATAAATACATTAAAATGATATGAATAATATAAATATGTAGCAAATGTTTTATTTTATGAAACATAAAACCAGATATATGCCCTCTTCATAAATGGCTATCTGAATACAGGAAAATATGAAATGTAAAGTTTTCCATGGGATTCTGGTAGTTTTGGACTGCACAACAGACAGGTTCACATAGGAGAGAATTGTGGCTGGCTGAAGTGGTAAACTGTGAGTATTGTGTCTTTGAATGTTAATAAAAATGATCACATGTTTTTGCAAATGGGAACCGAAACACAGCATTTGTAATGTTTTCTTTTTTAATTGATAAAGCTATTTCAGATAAAGTCAGTAGAGACTGTTCAGGGCTCCTCTCAGCTTGACCTTGGCTTGTCAAGGTGGGGCATACATTTACTATATTGAGCAGTCCCTACTCCCTAAGTAAATACTCATTAGAACCACATTTTGCTTTTAGTATAACTATTTCCAAATTCCAGAGAGTGTAAACATCTTCTAGAGGGTGACATTTAGCCTTTTTCTCTTTGTAATATCTACCCAAATTCAGTTAGACTGAACAGAGATGGTTTGTAATTGTTATTGTTCGAGTTTTGCCAAATATTCTTAAGTGGATTTAATTCTTGACTTTTACTAGGTCATTTGAGCACATGAGTACAGTGTACGCCTAACCATTTCCCTGTAGCATTAGCTGTAGATGTTGTCCAACTGGAAGGTATATTTGTGCTCCAAACATCTCCATCATCTTACAGGTTTTCCTATCTGGATTTTCCTGTACGTGACTCAATTTATCTGTCGAAGAAAGAATCCCCACAGCATAATGCTGCCACCCCCATTATTCAATGGGAGGAGGATGCATTCAGAGTGATGTGCATGGTTATTTTTTTTTTTTTTTTACACATGGTATTTCTCTTGTCACCCAATTTTGGACTCATCTGCCCAGAACATCTTCCGACTTATGTTTGTTGAGTCCTTTATAGGACTTGTGACAAATTATGATTTTTCTTCATCTTTCTTGCTTTCTTCTCTTCAATGTTCTTTAAGATACCTGATTTATGGAGTGCAGAAGACAGTTTCTGACAGTTTTCAGTGCAACATTTCCCCTGAACTGTGTCATGCTCACCTTAACTGCACCACAGTTTTATGCCTGCTCGGTGTTAATCTTGGTCTTTACAGCACTATTTGTTAATCAATTCTCATAAAAAAAGTGTACTTTTTGTTGGTCTTTCATGTTCAATCCCCATAAAACACAATAATGTCTTTGGTTGTAATTTGATCAGTTGTAAAAAATGACTATTACTAATTTGGAAAAAAAACTGTAAAAATGATGACAACCTCCTACGCTACAAGCAGTAACAACTGTCGGCTAAAGGAAAAATATGGTATTAGGTTAAAAAAAAAAAACCCATATAATTTTGCTTTAAAGCCTCTAGTCAGAGTTTGGTAAATGTCACAGTTCAACACTTTAGAAATTTAGAACCACATCCGGGATGAAGAACACATAAGTTAACTGTTTGGAAATCACCGAAAACATTATTCTTCAACCACAGCAAACAAGACTGCCTCATTTCAGTCATACTCTGAGCCAGATTTTATCTGACTATCAATTTGTACCAGTTTGTAATGGTCTTATAAGTAAGTTGGAAAACAAGGCAAGTGTTTGTCTGAAAATGTGCATTATGTGCCATCTATAGGGCATTTGGATTGGGGCAACATGCAACAAGTTATTAAATCAGATGATTTGTTAAAGACAGAAGGGATAAAACATGCAAGTTTTGTTAGCTCATAGCAT